TAACTGTAATAACTAATAATTACCAATAAAAAGTCCCCAGGCCAAGAAGGTCACCTTAATACCGAAAAAAAAAAAAATAAAATTTTATATTATTTCTATATTGTCTGGTTATACTAAAGATTAACCTTATCTACATATATATATTTTTACAACATATATCTCTACTTATCCAATTGCTTCTTTTGTAACAACCTAGACTTCTCTCTTACTAGTATACTTGCTTTAGCTATACCTTAATTTAAACTATTAACTCTACTATACATAACACTTTATTTAACTCTAATCTTAATCTCTCTTTATTTTAACTAAACAACCTTATATATACTATCTTCTTATATCCAGCCTTTTATCCTCAACCCTCTCAGCTTTATTCATTCTCTCTCTACTTTATACTTAAAAGCCTTATATCTATTTCTTTAATCAAATTCTTAGATCTATTTGACATTTCATATTCTAACACCTTCCAACTTATTATTAAACTACTGCTTAATATTTTTGACCAACTTTATAACAATATCTGGATCCTATACTGTATGAACTTTTCTCAATAAAAAAAATCTCATCAAATCCCTCCTTACCCTAACTACCAATTAATATCTTGATCCTTCTTACCCTCCTCTAATAAAAAAAATAAAATTAACTATACCTATAACTACTCTTGCAGTTTTGCTAACTAATTACACTTTGAATCTAATACTTGTTCTCCCCTAGAACAAGCCACTCTCAAACTTAATATCTGATCTACTTTGTGGATTAAATACAATAACCTATTAATTAAATTCTAACAATTCAAACCTAGATAAGTCTTGACCACTTTAGTAGGTTTAGGCTACAGATAATTAGCTCAAACTTTTAGTCTTAGCTTTTAGTTTGAGCTTTTGGTCTGAGCTCTTATTCTTGTATATAATTTATATTTATTTGTCTTTGTACAAATTAAGTTTTTATATAGTTTATGTAATTATTTATATAAATTAACCAATAAAGATATAAGTAAGACCTTACCTTAATACCAAATATATATATATATATATATATATAATGAATTTATTATATAGAAAACACAAATTGGATAAAAAACAATTTATAGCAATTCATATTTACCAACAATATAACATACCAACTCATAGACAAGATAAAGGTTTTATTAGTTATAATGTTTTATCAAATAAACATAAGGGTAAGCACATAATTAAATTACAAATAATTTATCTTATTTATTTCTGTTTTAATATATATTTTTTAAACTATTAGCGAAATTCAAAATAAGTCTATCAAAAATAAAAGAAAAAAATCTACAAGAGCAAAAAAAAAAACCTGAAACAGTTATTATTAATTCAGAAGATTTAAGCAAAGGTATTGATTGAGGAAGAAAGTATTGAAGAAAGCTCAAAAATTAGCAGTATTGAGCACCAAGAACAACTTATAGCACTAAAGAAATGTGAGATGTGAGATAGCTTTAAGAGAACATGAAGTAAAGGTTCATTCAATTGAATTAGCAAACCTTGAAAAAGAACAAAAATTGAAATCTGCAACTTAAATTCCAAAAGATTGTTTTAGGAATAATGTGTGAGGCATTATATTCTACATTGTCACCTCAAGATATTCAGGATGAAATGGTTGATTTTAGAGTCCAAAAAGATTCTCAAAAAAAAAAAAAAAAAAAAAAAAAAAGACTTGTAAAAACAAGCACAATTGTATTTGAAAAAAATCTGCATATTTATGCTAATAAATGAATTATGATAAAATATACTGTACATCATGTAAAATTTTTTAAAATTTTTTTTACTGTAAAAAAGCAGCATAGTAAAAGCGGTTTAACAAAAATCAAGATTTTTATGGGATTATGTTCGTTACTTTCACATAATCAAGATTTTTACGGGATTATATTCGTTGCTTCACATAATCAAGATTTTTACGGAATTGTACATCTTTTTTAGTTTAGAATTTTCTATAACATTATCAAAAGTTTGTATTATCTTTCTATTTAGGTTTTTCTAAGCAAATTTCAGATTTTCTAGTTCTTTTTTAACTTTATAAGGTTATCTTGTATTTGCACTAACTTAACTAGCTTGCATTTCTTTATACTGTATAACCCTGGTATTATATAGAATTTATTAATAAAACTAGTGCAATTAAAGTTATAGATAATAATATCTAACTAATACGTAGATAAAGATTTATTACTATAATACAAGTATATCACATTTATAATAAAAGGTTTTAATAGATTGAAAAATAGATACGTATCTGATGATGTTAATTCATTCTCAAGATCAAGTATAATAAACGAATGACATAATATTTAAGGTTCCTCATTGTGAAAATAAATATTGAAGGTTCTATAAACATTGGTCAAGATGAAACATTTGATCAAATTATGATATTTTTATTTAAATACATGCAATTTTTTTTTATACATTAAATAGTTTTTTTTTTTTAAAAAAAAAAAAATCAATTATTCAAATGTAGCATGTATTTCATTATCTTCTCTAAATTTAGGTTTACTATTTCCCATAAATAAACCCGAAATAAACATCAATGTACTATAAAGTATTATAAAATAAAAAGTGAATTGAAATGCTAATACATAAGCGTGAATAACTGAAGACTGTTCTTCAGGTGATAATAATCTTATAGTATATACAGATCCTGTTGAAAAAGTTGGAGGTAAAGTTAATGTACTTAATGCTTGTGAAAGCTTATTATTAAATAACGTTCCGGATATTGCAATTCCAAAAACAGCTCCAACTAAAAAGGAAATATATTTATAATGAATTAGTAAAATAATTTTGCAGAGAATTAAATAATTATTATATATATATATGCATATATATATATATATCTGAATACTTACTACTTCTAAAGAATAATGATAAAGCAGTAGCAACAGCTATATCCTTTGGCTCAACCATTCCTTGAACGCATAATGTAATAGTTTGGATACTTATACCAATTCCAGCACCACCAATTACCATATATCCTAGAAATTCACCATATCCAGTGTTTTCATTCCACATAGTGGTTAAACCAGCACCGATTATTGTTATTATAGCAGAAACAAAAATTACACATCGATACGATACTTTATCAGTTCGAGAGAAAAATTGACCAGCTAGGATTATGAATACTACTACACCAAGAATGTAGGGCATGAAATCTATTCCGGATTGTGTGGCTATTTAAAAAACCATTTAAAATGCGAAATATTAATTTTATTTAATATTTAGTAAAGGAGTATGAACTTTGATCGATAAAGAGACTTGCCTGAATCTCCTTTTACAACCTGAAAGTAAAGAGGGATATAAAAAATAAAACTAAAGAATATCATTCCTTGGAAAAAGGATGTGAAGAAACACGAAACTACATCAAGACTTTTAAATAAATGTGCTATTAAAAAATAATTATAATAGATTAATCATAAATAGTAAAACTTGACAAATACTGAAATAAATCAAGCTATGAGTACTTACATGGAGCAACAGGTTCACTAACGACGTAGTTTTCAACAAGACCAAATATTATGTAACCAACAATGCCAGCACATAAAAGTATTATGACCACAGGACTATCCCAAGCATAGGTACTACCTCCCCAATTAAGAGGTAATAAGAGACAAACAGTCGATGCAATCAATATGATAATGCCAAGAAAATCAATTCTCTTAATTTTCTCGAGTAATGAACCAGTTGGCATTTGCATGCGAAGAAAAGCAATTACAACGATTATTGTTATTGCACCTAGAGGAAGATTGATGAAAAAACACCATCTATTTTGGAAATATGCGTTAGTTTAATGATTTACATCAACAAGACTTTTGCCTCAGGTTTCATACCGTAATATAAATTTTTACATACCTCCAATTAACATGATCAGTAAAAGCACCACCCATGAGCGGTCCAGCCACGGAAGCAATTCCGAAGCACGCGCTAACAATACCTTGGTATTTTCCCCGATCTTTAGCACTGACAATGTCAGTAATAATAATCATAACAAGTCTATAAAAAAATATATAATAATTTAGCGTGTATAAAAATTTGATATAAATTAAAAATTAATGTTGTGACAAAGTACGTACCCAATGATACCACCACCTCCAATACCAGCGATTGCACGATATATTATCATTGAAACCTAAATATATAATTAAGAAATTGTTAATGTTACATGTATTTTAAGGAATTGGAAAGGAAAAAAGATAATTACCATATTATTAGCAACACCACATAATAAACTGCCCAATTCAAAAATAAAAATTGAAAATAAAAACGTTGTTTTACGACCAAAAATATCAGATAATTTTCCATAGATTGGTGAAAATGAAGTCTATGTCGATAACGTGATTCACGTGAGTCACACATGATATATAACTCAAGAGAAGAGACAAATAAAATCTTGTAATTACCGATGTGAGTAGATAAGAAGTTGCGACCCATGCTATTTGATTCAACCCATTAAAATCGGAAACTATTGCAGGCAAAGCGGTAGAAACGATTGTTTGATCTAATGCGGCTAAAAATATAGCACAAGCTAGACTATTATAAAATAAAAAAAAGAAGCTAAATAACTTGCTGATAGATAGCTTGAATATGTGGGAGAACTAATAACTACGAACCCAAAAGAAACCAAAAATAATTCAACTCCATGTAATATGCTATCATTTTCAACAGTTTGAGCTTCCTGATCATTGATATTTTTTGTAGATATTATATTTGTATCTTCTATTAATTCAGTTTTTGGGGTGGATTTATTTTGTAACATTTTGGTTTGTTGTTTTTTTTTTGTACTCTGTTTATTATTATTATTAATTTTGTTAAAAACTATAGCGCTCAACATCTTGGCCTTTTATAACTTTTATAATTTTTCTCTTTTCTTAAATAAGAATGTATCGCAACTTTTTGTGTAATAATTAGAGTTAATAACGATAATGTATGAATATTTATAAATATTATCCGAAAAGCATTTACAAAGTTCATTAATCTGAGACCAAAAAAGTTATTTTAAAAAAAATATACAAGGTAATTTGACGAACTGGGATCTTGTAATTGAATAAAGAGAAATGGCATTCGATTCTATTTGAACTTTCTAGGTGCTACACCAAATTATCATTGAAAACAAAAATTCAGGCTGAGAATTATTCAACATATTACTAATTGATCGCAGTAGCCTATTAAGTGAAAAATATTCCTTCGGGTAAAGTCTGATTTTATCATCTCGCAAGCCTATTTCCAAAAATCTATTTCCTATATTGCAAAGCCTATTTCTTAAAATTTTCTATTTTGGAAATAAAAAGTTTATTTTTCCGCAGCATTTGAAATAAGGTTTGACCTTTTTTAAGCAACCTATTATTTAGGAAAAACAATTATTCCTTATATTAAAAATGATTTGCACAGTTTTTATTGCGCACTTTAAAGCACATAATTTTGTTGATTAACCAATCAAATCACGTAATTTATGAGGGATTTACTGCGTTACACTATCCTTAAAAAAATGTTGACTGGACACAGTTCTAAAAATTTCAAGGGGCAGTCCGCAGTTAAAGGGGTGAAATTTTATACTTAAATGGGACGCAGTATTACTATTAGTAGCGGTAGAATACCGAAATTTCTGGTATTAAGAAAAAATCATATGGGACTCTTGCTAGGAAGATCCCTCCGAGATTTTCCAATCGGGAATTCGGACAAACCTAGGCCGGTCTTATTTACATATAATCATCTTTTCTACTTTATTGATTCTATGGTTTATTTAATAAACTATAGAATCAATAAGTAAAAGATGATTTACATGTAAATACCGTATAAGCGCGAAATAATGCACACCTGCGCGTTATTTCGAATACCCATGTGCGTTATTTCGAAATGAGTAGATATTCTAAATCCAATACGATCAACCTTCCATAAATGCACGTTGTTAGGTAAAAATGCATTTATAAAACATTCATTTATGGAGCATAATCACATAACGACAATATTAAATTATGCGCACTTATCATTATAAGGAAAGTGCATTTGAAGTGAACTTATAGAGAATGCACATATGGAGTGTCGACTGTATATCATTAATCGCGTTAACTTGGGAGCCGTGAGCGCTAATTTGAGAACAATATAAGCTATTTTTGAAGGATCCGATTCAAAATAACACCCACGAGTGTTATTTCGCGCTTATACGGTAAGAACTGATATTCTGGTCTGAATTTATCCGATCGGAAAATCTCGGAGGGTGATCTTTCTAGTAAAGGTCGAGGTTTCATAGTCGGACATTCGTTTGATTGGCTGATGTAAATCAATTGCCCGGGTAACTTATTTATACACTTTAAAGTACTTTTTGAGAACGTAACGTCTCACTAATAAAAATCACTGTAAAAGCCATTTTTCACTTCGAAAGAGCGTTTATATTCACTATACAAAAGTAATCAAAAATAATCAGTAACCCCGAGAACTTTACTTAGAAGACAAAGTATGCCTGCCGTTTATTTGACCATATTGTGGAGTGAAGGTAACTGGAAACATTTTCATCTAAAGCTATTTTATTACGTTAGATTTAGATAAACTTTTACTTTTAACTGTTTGATTTGAATAGGTACAAGCTCTTAACAGTAGAAGATCTGGGCTTAATATTTAAATTTGGTCTGTTCTTGTAGTGCTTTTGGGCTTGTCAACCGTATATTAATAGTTGTAGTTTATGTAATGTACGTAGGTCTTCTTTACAGAAACTTATGTTTTTGTTAAATATGTTTACAATAAATCTATTATATATCAATTATATTATTATTATATGA